TCAATACTAAGTATTATTTTGTAATAATCTTTATGAAACTAATCATGTACTCCAGAAAATAATTTAAAAATAAAGATTAATTTTTTTCAATAAATAAATTATTCAAAATCTGAATTTTATAATTTTTAAATATACTTAAATATTATACTTTTAAATTTTTGAGATTTTTTTGTAGTATTGATTATATTATTAAAATATGGTTATTAAATATATTTAAAAATTCAAAAAATCAAAATTTGAATAAATTCACTATTAAAGGAAACTTTGTGGTAAACATACTTGATGAATCACTGTTTTATTATACAAGGAATTTAAGTATTGAATAATTTACAATAATACGTCTATTATTAATATTCTCATTTGAGCTTCTGAATAAATCAGATCACATTTATTAAAAAAATATAAATACATTTTTTTCAATCATATCATTAATAATTTATAAAATTAAATTTGTTTATTTAGGTAAATAAAAAATTTGTAAAAGCTTCATGATTATAGTAAAATACATACGTCATATAAACAAATTTTATTTTTCGACAATCTTTTCCTAATTTAAAATAATTTTGTAAAATAAGTATTTTTATTTATTAAAAAAAAAATTTCTTAAAATTCTATATTATGGAATCTGTTTTAATTAGAACAATAAGCTTATATGATAAAATAGTTTATTAAAAAATAAAAAATAAATAATTAAATGAGATATCGTTAAAAATGATACTTAAAAGTAATACCATTATTTTAAAAAAACAAGGTAAAATTTTGAATATTTCTTAAAAACAAGATATTATTTACCTACTACATTGTTAAAATTTAAGATTGCATTTTATATGGACATATAGCATTAATATAATGCATTATATATACTTCATATTATAACAAATAAACCTTGGAGTATAACGTCTATTGACTATTATGATACATGAATAAATCACATAATATGATATACGACATGTAAATAAATGCATTTTTACCCTGTATGCACTCCTGTAATTGTCATTGAATGTCATATCGAAATGTGTCCCATTCCATTTATATCTTATATTATAGGCTACATCTTTCAATAAAAATTTAAAAATAATGCTCTGGAATTTCTTTGAATTATCATAACAAACATTTAAATATCATAAAAATTATAAGTAAATACCTATATTATGTATATTATAATTTATATAACAGTATTATACAGTAAACTTAGATACAATTTGCAATTATACACTATGAAGTAAATGATATAGTCGTTACAGAGATCTTTCCTAAGTGAAGCCTTCATGAGCCTTTAAATTCTAAGTCTAAAAAATAAAGAAATTTGTCTTAATTTATGTATGAATTTATACTTTTATCTATGATACACATGTAAATTCTTATACTATTTATCGTTCACAAAAATAACTTTTACTGTATAAAATAGAGTAAAGACGTTTCTAATAGTTATAGGTGTTAATTTTTATTACTCATAAATCATAATTCATTGAAAACTGTTGTAAAAACAATTTTTAAGGAGTTTTTAGTAGGCAATTTAATTTTTTTTTATATTAACATAAAACTAATATTTTTACGATAAATTAAAATATATATATTAAAGTAATTTACTAATTTACAAGTAGGTAAATAGTTTAATATCAGTATATCACAATTAATTTTCTTCTTACTCACTAAATAAAAAAATTATTCAAAACACAATATGTTTACCAAAATAAACAATAATATAATAAAATAATAAATAATAGGTATAGAAGAAAATTTAACCACATATAATTCAACAAAATCATAAATATATTATATTTTTTAATTAAAAAAACCTAATAAAAAATATTTAAAACTCCATAGTTGAAATTTAAAATGCATTCATGACATTTAAATAAAATACTTACCTAAATCCTGGGGTAACATTGAGGGGAAGGCTAGAGTATTCATTTATCCAATCCTAAATTTTAAAATATCTTCGGGTCCACATTACGTGCTGTGATCAATAGAATTATTTGTGGGGAGGGGGTAGCAAAGCGGGTCCCTGTCCGATTTTAAAAGCAGCCCGGCGTTCTTGTAAAGTATTCGAATAAATATATTCAAATACGTATTTTGAATACTTTTATTTATATTTTTTTATCCATTAAAAAATACTTTTTTTCGAACAATAAAAATAGTTTCAAATCTATAATAAGACATTTTTCTGTTATTAATTGGGCAGATTATAAATCATGAATATTAATTTTATAGTTTTATTCATAAAACGAAATATAATGCAATAACCATTTGTAAAAATTTTATATCGATGTATTATAAATTATTATATTTGTATTAATTATTACCTATACCTAATAGTTAATTCCAACCATTTCAAAACTGATAAAAACTACAAGAAAAAAAAGTTTTCTTATAGTATTCGAATACTTTTTCAAACATTCGTATATATATTCTGAATACTTTAATTCTCATTTATTTGAATACGTATTCCGAATAAAAAATAAAAGTGTTCTTTACAAGACAGCATCTTGGTTATCGCTATTTAATTATTATTGGTAGAAATATCGACCCTATTTTATATTTCCTAAAACATTATATATTAGGAATGACCAGTGGCGCACCCAAAGGGGGGCTTTGGGGCTTAAGCCCCCCCCCCCCCCCAAAAAAAAAAAAAAATTTTTTCATTAAAATTATAAGTTATTATAGCAAATATTATAGTATAACAAATAACAATGATAAACGATAATGTTATATTTTAAAATTTTACCATGTTAGATACACACATATATATAATGAATAAAAATAGTTCAATATTACGCGATAAGGTTTGTGGGAATCGCCGATTTCTTATTTCGTTGAAAATTAGTTTTAGATTTATAGATATTAGCGAGAACCTAGCGATTATGTAGGATCAACTTTGATTGGTAACTATACGATAACAATGATAGTTATGACTTTCGACTGTCTGTCGTGGCATGAAAAACTCGTTTAGATAATTCAGTCTGTTCGATTTTTTTTTAGTGATAGCTTTGTCGAATGTGCTTATGTGTATACAAAAGTTGAGTTAAAATGAGTCAAAAACGAAAGAAACCTGAAGTTAGTACTAGTAGTACTCTTCTTAATTATATTAGTATTAAATCAAAAATTTCAACAATCAATGAACCGCCCCCAGTCCTCAAAAAATTTCTACATTACGTCGAATTAAAACCTATCTCCGAAATACAACATTCACGTTTAAATGGTCTGGCAAATCTTCACATATATCGAGAAATACAAATTAAAGAATCCGAAGTATTAACAGTTCTTTCTGAAAAAGGACCCAGGAAACTTAAATTTTAAATTGATTTAGTTATAAATATAATTATAAATGTTAAATACATAATAATATATAACATTATATGGTGATAGTAAATAAATGTGATTATTTAAAAATTAGTTTTAATTGTTTACTTGTGTGTAATTATTAAGTTCCCCCCCCCCCCCAAACAAAAATTCTGGGTGCACGCCTGGGAATGACATTATTGTCATGATGATAAATTTATTAAAAGTATTGATTATAGAATAGTCAAATCTATAATCAATAGTTATAAATTATTAATAATTATTAATAGTTGGAATAATGTAAAATGTAATGTATTTTTAAGTATAACCAATACAACGGAAAATTTTAAAATACACTGCAGCTCTTCGAAAATCAATTTTCTTGGGTATCCCCACTCGATACTCTGCCACAGAGATCGGTTCTACTATGGCGGAATGTCTCTTGAAGATCCGAAGAATTGCTATACCTTGTGTTTCATCGTTTGACAGTGGACTGTGGACAGGATCTGTATGTAAGTAAATTGGTGTGTTTATTGTGAAAGGAAAAGAACATTATAATAGGTATAATGGTCAGTAAAAAAACAATAATAACATCAAATGTAATACCTAATGATAATCAGTAATCACAAATAATTGTATAGCTTAATGCTTAATTACATAGTTGACTAAATATATTTTAATCTATAATTTTGTTATTTAATCGTAAGTTAACAGATTTTTAAATAAAATAAAGTACAAAATATTCGCTACTTTATACTTGTTAATTATATTGTTAGTTAATAAAAAATGTTTCGTTATTAAAATTAGAAAAAAATTATCTAAATTATAAAATATGGCATATGCAGTGTTAAGAAAACTTTGGTTAAAAAGGAAAGTACCTACCTATGTGGTTTTGAGCGTAACGTGAGATTTTTTTTAAGTTATCTATTTAAATCGGTCTACATTTTTACCACCTCTGTTGAAAACTGAAATAATGCTACTGCCTACAATCTAGGTACATCAACAGGCTCAGAAAACTCAGATAGTCAACAGATTTACGCAAGTGCTAATGTTCATCGTGAATGACGTACACTTTGATTTATAAATTTAGAGTTACACATATTCACACATTTCCAATTCCAACACAGTAAATATTATGTAAACATAAAAGTAAAATACAATTTTTATAACTTAATGTGTTTAATTTTTTTTTTAAGTATTTCTAACAAATTTTTTACGGTTACCTAGTTGTATTGTTTTTTGTTTCTGTTGTTATTTTATTGGTAATATAATAAAAAAATCAGAAACATTCGATGTTTGGTATATAAAAATTAAATAAATTAGAATTTTTTTATAATTTATCTTGTAGTCAGTAAATTTAATATTGTTACTACGATATATCAATAGACAACATTAGAATCCTTCTATTGATTAATATATCGGAAAATAATTATCTAAACATACGTTTTTATAAGGCTCACAACAATTCTCAACAGTATTTCAAATTGTAAGAAAAGAATACCGACAAATTGAAACGTTAATTTTAAATTAAAATAATATATATTCATGAAATTATTAAATTGGAAATTTAAAAATATTTACAATCCTACCAATACCATGGTTTATTTTAGTTTGTGGTAATGGTAACAAAAAACAATTTAATATCAAAATAAATTGTTATCGCTTATCATTTTAAAACAGTAGTGAATAGTGATTAGTGATTCGATCTTATAATTTTGTTAAGTAGTAAGCAGGTATTTATTTTAAAAATTAGTTTGGTACCGATATTCATATTAAATATTAACTATTAAACTTCAAATTAATCATAGTATAAGCAGATAAGCAGAATGAGCCTAATGGTACTTAATTACAGAATTTAAAATCTATTTAAATTTGGAATTTAAATTTTTAGTAAGTATATTTGTAATTTGTATATATTAAATTATGTTATACAGCACTAGTACCTTTGTTTATTATTATATACCTAATTTCCCTAAGGAAAAGTGCTGGATAAACTTTTTAAAAATAATAATATCTGTCAATGTCTTAAAATCTACCACTTATTTTATTCATATTAAAGTAAGAAATAAAATGAAATTACTTCAATAAACTATCTATATATAAATTATTATTTATTATTATTCGCTTATCTCTTCTGAATCACTTAACCAATTAGCACCAACATTTATATTCATATTCCTTGAAACAAGAGAGTGAGTTTTTCAACTTGTATAGGGCTATATAGTGCTTCATACAGGAATAATGTTTTAGAACATAAAAACTAAACATTTTTATTTATAAAAATAAATGAAATTTATATTATATAAGCATAAAAATAATAATGAATGTTCGTAGCTTATAAACTCAACAACTTTGGCCTGGTATGGTGCGATGGTCAGCTTTGGCCATTAATCAGCTGGCGTCGCTAGCTCTCGAATGGGTGACCACCTGAGTTCTTAGTGACGAATCCATTGCATACACACATATACCCACGTATTCCAACTCTACTAACCAAACCTTACACAAAAATACCTATTGTTCCTATGCACAGCTAATGGCCTTAGTTGTCAATAATCAAGATCAATAAAAAAAAAAACTCAACAACTATTCAATTGGTTATAATAAAAATTTTAGGTTAAATTTTATATATTATATGTATTCAACAAAAATACTATAATACATTAAAATGAATTGCAATTGATACTTCTAACATAGTAACATTTCCATTAAAATATATGTGTTATTGCTCTTTTATATGAAATATATCAAACACAATTTCATGTTTAAAATGTTTATAGCTTAGATCAGATTACTAATTATTTATGAATCTATACAAGCTCAATATTTATTACTATTATTTACATCATGGTATTGTGCTTAATATTCTAAACATTTTATTTGTTTTTTTTTTTATGTTATTTATTACTACATACTACATTCACTATATATAATTATTATTATCTGAAATGAATATTGAATTTTATATATTAATTCAATAAATTACTTTTTATTATTAAGTTTGTATCTTAGATAAAATATTTAATATAAGTACATGTCCATTAAGTATTTAAAATAATAATATTTAGCTTAAATAATTTAAGATCATTTTTTTAGGTTAAATCTGAGTACTGAAATGCACCCTAAAGGAGAGTCCAGCCAAACAAAGGATGATATTGATTTATTAGACGAGTTACTAAATAAAACTAACTGTGCTCACCTACATTATAAAGTTCAAGACTGCATAGCCACAACAAAAGACTGGAGAAAGTGTCAAGCTGAAGTGAAAGAATTTAAATTGTGTATTGAAAAAAATCAAAAACTTGCAAATAAAAACAATGTTTGATATTTCTAATCATGAATTCATTACTCCATTTGTTGTCGGTCTTCTGATTGGCACAGGAGCTTCATATGGATATCGCAACATTCGACCACTACTTTCTGGTCCATTAAATACACTTTCTTTGCATAATAAACTTGTATTGGTAGTTAGAAATGATTTGGGAATGACTAAAGGTAAAATAGCAGCTCAATGTTCCCATGCTTCTGTTGAATGTTATAAAGCGGCAATGCAACATAAACCTCAAATGGCAAAAATGTGGCTAATGACTGGACAGAAGAAGGTTGTAGTTAGTATAAAAAGTGGTTCAAAAGGTCTTGAAGAATTGTCAAAGGTTGCAAAATCCCATAAAGTGCTTTCTTGCATTGTTTATGACGCTGGAGCAACTCAAGTCAAATCAGGAACACCTACTGTAATAGGCATTGGGCCAGCTAACTCTGATGTTATTGACCAGATTACTGGCCACTTAAAATTAATTTAAGTTATAGAATTTCAATATAGTATTTTATTTTTAAAAATATTCATTTTGTTTATTATTTAATTAACTGTCACTCACATTAGTCATATGACATGTATATTATTATTTTATTAAAAATATTAATAATTTTTCTAGTTGGTAAAAATATTTAAGATTTCTGTCTTATAATTCTTATGAATTAATGATTGCTATATTGCATTTTAAAATTAATCAAAGTATGCTTTAAAAATAGTAAAATATAAAATAATATAATTTTATCTTTCAAAACGTTCTATGAAATATTATTAATTGAAACTACATGTTTTATATTTATTTTGTGTGTTATCATTCTACAATAATAGATATTGGCTCCATGCACATTTCTATAAAATATTTAGCACACTTATTTAGTGTCATTCGAGTACCTTTTCACTGTAAATCTTTTAATATAAATATTTTTTTAAATACAAATTTTAAAATAAATTACTAATAATACAAATAAATAATTGTTCAAAAATAAAAATATACAAATTCAAATTTAAACAGCTATAAATTTATAAAATAATCTGCAATGTGCATAGCTACTAAATAAAATATTTTTAAGTCATAAATACTCTTATTCAAATCATAATATTATGTAAGTACCTTTTTTAAAACTCTGGAAATTCTCTTTTTTTTTATAATCAAGAAATATTTAATGTTTATAATGCTTTTAAGAGTATTTTGAAATCAAATTTCAACTTTAATAATAATTCTAAAACATTTTATATTAATATAATCATTTATAGTTACAACATTATTAATAATTGTTAAAGTTAGTAAAATTATTTATAATTGTATTACTAAAAACAACAGTTATTATATTGTAGCATTTTATTGTGTACCTACAAATTCAAAATTCCCTCTTACAGCTATAGCAATATTGTCTATAGATCTTCAGTTACCTACAATTGCACTGTTGATTTTTACAATCAATTTAATAATCCGTCAACGACTATTTTACTATTCAGCAATCATTCTACATTTCTACCTTCCAACCCCATTTTTTTGCGAATCCTGAGATACAATTCAAATATTCTATCATTAAACCATGAATCCATATAATATGATTAATAGATTTAAAACTGATTTCTATAGATGCATTGAGATTTTATTTTACATTGGTGCAAAATTAACTTCATAAAACTTTCTTTTAATTTATAATTTTTAATAAGTAAAATGTTTTTAAATAAACTTGATATTTAGTGTATCTAAATATTAGGTAAACAATTTGAAGTATTTCAAGTTGTTTGTATACCTGTTTTTTTTTAGTTATAATAAATACACCATTTTACTAAGATTTGTTGTGTAGAAACTTAGATACCAAGATGCCAACATATTGATGGTAACGTTAAATCCAATTACTGTTTCACAATTATTTAAAACAAATATTATAATAAATAGTAGAAGGTATACAAATCTTTTTAGCTCAAATTATTGACATAAGAATAAATTTAAAACTCATAAAAATACCATAGAACTTATGGAAAGATAAATGTTGGTGTAAAATAAAGAACTGATACCTACTTGAGAACTGTTTGTCTGAATTAAGAATCAAATTTGATTAAATAATTTATAAATTCCATAATCCCTTTTAATTATTATTGTAAAATATAATAATTATGCATTGTGTAACTGTGACATGTTATATTATATTGACCATTCCAATCACTTATAATATTTAACCAAGTTAATTAGTGTTTTTTTATTTCTTGAAGCTTTTTTTTTTAAAAATTGCTGGATATTTTTTGAAGAAAAATTAAATAAAACTGAAGTAATAAATCATAAAAACAAATTATAATTGATCAGTGATTTTTATATTTTAAATTAAAACGCGTATGGTTAACACCTTAAAGAAAAGATGATATGGTAGTGCAACACTAACACATTGTTGCTTATAGGGTATCGCCCTTTTGAATTGTGATTTTATGTTTCATTACTCTTTAGTAGGTATGATGCATATTGCATACTTAATAGTATATAATAAATACTAAATAGTAATAGCACAGAATAATTATAGGTATTACAGAATATTTTGTGATAATATTACATATTATAAAAAAAAATAATGTACAGTAAACTAAATCATTAATAATAATAAATATATACTCCAAAGTCCAAACATAATGATAACACTTATCATTTTATATAATATCAGAAAATTCTGCATTTAAATATTAATATTTAATAATATAGGTAATATAGGTATATAGATTATAATAAACTAGAAAGTTTCAAAAAATCATAACATTGTTAATAAGTTCATGAATAGTATTTGCGTAAATATTCATTATTTTTTGATCTTACAGAAGTAAAATTTATTTATTACAATACCACAAGTTTGCTAATTTGAAATAAAACATCATTGGTAAGCTTATTAGTTTTGGTTTAATTCATAATTTCTTCTTTTTTTTTTTTTTTTTTTAATCATGATACATGGTATTTCAGTTTTTCATGATTAATAACTTTTAATAATGTTCATTAAAGTTTTATCCACATTACCAAGTGTAATGATAAAGAAATCTTCATTTCTATGTAAGAAATTTCATAGTGTTTAAGAAGATTAAAATTAAAGATGTTAATATTTATAGATACTTATTTAGTTCACAGGCCTTTAACTACAATGCATAGCAATATCATAACGAAGGAGTTTGGGAAATTTAAAGTACAAGTGCTTCCAGCATTATCAGATAATTTTATGTATTTATTAATTGATAATAGTTCAAAAGAAGCTGCTATTGTTGATCCTGTAGCACCTGATGTGGTTTGGGATGCAGTCCGTAAAGAAAATGTTAAATTAACAACTGTACTTACAACACACCATCATTGGTAATATAATTAAAGAGTTATTATTATACTTTTCTGAATGTTATATGGTGTTTCATTGTGGTAGGTATCTAACTAAAATGAATAATTTTACATAATTATTTACAATATTCATTAATGCTTGTTTTCTAAAAATATTTTCTAATTAACAAATAAAAAAATTTACAAAATATTATTTGATAGTTATAAATTTATAAATTTTATTTATTCTTTGCTCATTTCTATTCTTTTTGATTATTGACCTTTCAATTAAAATATTATTATATTTATTTTTAAGATATTATTTTATAAATGTGATAAATATTTATTTTTAACCAAAGACAGTTTTTTTATAGTCCTGGTTAGGTTGTTTGCCAAAATGTATTGTTAAATTTAAGTTCAAAGTTCAATGTTAATTTTCAAAGCAATATCATGATTCAATGAGTTTAATTTATTGTTGTGAATTCCAATGTGTGATTTAAAATGTCAATTAAATACAATTTTAATTTCAACTATTACTAGGGATCACGCTGGTGGCAACAAAGAACTTATTAACAGCAATACCAATGATCAATTGACTGTTATTGGAGGTGATGACCGAATTGATGGTCTTACAATTATGATTGATACACATGGAGTAGATGTTCAATTGGGATCATTGAATATTAAATGTTTATGCACACCTTGTCACACCACAGGACACGTTTGCTATTATGTTAATGAAGAGCAAAATGGTGTTGTTTTTACAGGTTATTTTTATTGTATGATTTATCAAAATATCAAAACCAAACTAAGTATTTTAAAAAGTATTTTTTTTACATAGGTGTTAATAATTTTTTAGTTTTTATGTGTTATGTTTTTATCTATAACTTAATTCATTATTAAAACCACTAGTTAATTTTGGATTCGATTAAATATCTACCGTTATTGTTTTTATTCCATTTTAATATATTATGTCATGTTAGTTACTTTTCATTTAAAACTATAGATTTAAATTATATTATTGATCAAGTATTTTGATTAAGCAGAAGATAGAAGTAAAGATGATGTTAGCTATGAATACAGCTTCTAATTTTTAATTTTTTTTGTATTATTTCTAGGAGATACATTATTCTTAGGAGGTTGCGGTAGATTTTTCGAAGGTACTGCAACACAAATGTATAAAGCATTAATTAAAATATTATCACAATTACCTGACAGCACTGTAAGAAAATAAACTTTATACTAATATCATCACATGCATAACACTACTAACTTCTAAGATATCATTACAGGCTGTGTTTTGTGGACATGAATATGCCATTCAAAATTTGAAGTTTGGTTTGCATGTTGAACCATCTAACCAACATATATTGAGTAAATTAGAGAATATTGAAGCCAAACGAAAAATAAAAGAGCCAAGTGTTCCATCAACTATTGGTAAAAATGAGTTTTTTTAATGTTAAGAATTATTTGATCATATAGTGTTGTTTTTTTAAATTTAGGTTTAGAAAAGCTGATTAATCCATTCATGAGAGTAGAAAATGAATCAGTTCAAAAATTTACTCAAACAATTGGTGAACCAATTAACACAATGAAAATGTTGAGAGATTTGAAAAACAATTTTTAAAAAATAATACTTATTTTATTACAATAATACATTCTTGTATAAATTGTTCGTTAATAATACATTGGACATACAAACATAGACATTTGAACTTACAATTTAAATAATACATAATAAAACTTATCGAGATGAGAAATTAGATGTTTGAACTGCATTTATAGATTTATTAAATGTGTATTCTTCCATATCTGCAGCATATTTTTCTTTAGATTTCTCGTACATATCATAATAAACCTAAAAAAAATAATAATATTCATAACTACATTCTTTAATATTGTTGCATTTTAATCATTATAAAACTATAACAGATATTAATTTAAAAAAACATGGTAGGGGATCTATTAATTAAATTTATGGAAATTTTTTTTTTACATGATTATGAATATGGTTTAAAAGTTGAGGCATTGTTGCACTAATACAACTGTAGGTCATTTAGTAAAATATTTAAAATAAAACAATTTTGTTGAAAATTATAAATATTTTTTAATAATAAAATTATTAATTTTCATTTATGAAAAATCTTATAATGTGATATCAAACAACATAATTTTTTCTCAAATGACCAAATGCTAAAATTCTTGTTTTAAATATTAAAAATATAATTTCATACTTTATTTTTTAAATTATATTATAAAATAAGGAATGTTAATTTATTATATCAGAAACTTAATTAAATATAACTGTATGTAAATGTAACAGAACAATTTTTAATTCAAATTTATTTAATTTTAAAACAATTATATTTTACATTGATTGTAAAAAGATTTTCCAAAATAATACATAAATAATGCTTTAAGTTCTGTCTTCTGAGCTTTGGCTATAAACTATTAACAGCTAAATTGTTTATGATATTTTAAAATAAAGAAGTACAAATTTAAATGTTATACAAAAATAAAGTATTCAAAGATTAATTTACTAATAATTTTTTTAAATTCACCCATTAGTTAAAAATTGAAATAATCAGTGTTTATCTATACCTAAAGTTTGATTTAAAAAAAAAAATATGTATTTCTGAACCAAATTGTTATTACTCATTGGAGTATGAATATTAATTTAAGTTACCTAGACACACAAAATCAATTACATAATTATTTTTAAAATTACTTATAAAAAATAATTTGTATTATTATATTTTGTAACTACTGAAGTCAAATGAAACAAGAAGGAAAAATATAAGTGAATAATATAATTTATAGACTAAATCTAAAAATTAAAAATTTAAATATCAATAAAAAATTAAAAACAAAAACATGGTTCTCATTTGAGAACACCAATTCACAGACGTGTTTAGTTAAGAGAGTGTACAATAAATATTTAATAGAGAAAAAAGGAACATATAAAGGAAATTAATTTTTTATTTAGCCAGGCAAAACACTGAAATAAAATAGAAAAGCAAAGTAAAAGAATTCACTTCATCTGCCAGAAATTTCCTTAAAATGTATAAATTAGAAGTATGTTTTTGATTCGAAATAGAAGATAAGTTCAAAGTTTTTTGGATAAGAAAGTAATCACGAGGACAGTCAGTTCTGAGGATAAATTATGATGTAAAACTTAGAAATTAAAGATTAATCATTCTATTATAAGCAATTCTAGTAATAGATGGAACCAAAATGACAGAACTATATTTAATTATAAAGCTAAGAAAAAGAGCCCATTACATGATGTTTTCTCATATAACATAGTTTTAAAGTATGTTTTTTAAGACTATAAACGATACTATATACTATTTTAAGTTATAGTAATGATAGGTTTTCCTATAGTGTTTAGCATCAACTACTGCTTTGGACATAGTATGCATCTAGCGTTACTCCCCCCCTCCCCACCAATGCTGTGCTGTTTCACTTTTTGATCATTCTTTTATATACAATAAAAATGTAAAAATTTCAGTTACATATAAGCATTATTCAAAGACACTGGAGACATCAAATGGCTTCATTAAAACTCAATTTATTCTAGATATTTAAAATATATGCAATTGGCTAACCCGAGCTAAGATATGATAATATAGGATTAATAACAAACATGTTAAATACTTAAACATAAAATTGTTTTTACATACTTTTTTATCATTATGTTCCATAGTATTCCAAGTTATTGCTAGTCGTTTTGTAAGGTCTTGTTTTGTAGGTTCTCCTTCACCTGACATAATGATTTGATCAAGTACAATTGGCCTTTGTTCTTGACAAAACCTAAAGAATGGATTTGCTGGTCTTTTGGGTAAATTAGGATCTTTCTTCTCAGTAGATTTCATGTTCAAATTCTTTTTTCCATTTGGTGTTTCTACTGTTCCTTGATTCTTTATAAATAAATAATATTAAATTAAAATTGTATTATACTTATAATACTTATAATTGTAATATATTATAAACAGTATTACTTTTAAATTAACTGTTTCGGGTAAAGGTAAATCAGTTCCTAGATCTATTTTCAAATCAGCTTCTCTCCAGTTGTCTTTATGCGTATCCAATCGATCCATAATAAACCTGAAAAAGTATCAGTTAATTTTAATAGTGATTTATGATTATTTGACAGAATAAAAATATATACTTTCGTTCCAACCGGATCCGTCTTAATTGTTTTGTGACTTGATGTATCCTGTGCACTAGACGTTCGTTGTCCTTAAACACATAGATTACATACATAAAAAATCAACAGACAAAAGATGTACTACTGAAGCAGAATTGTATACAAAAGATTTACACCCCGGTAATATGAGTGGTAGAAATAAGTTTTGCCTAAACTATGGACTACAATACGTATAAAAGGGAAGGCACCATCTAAGCATTTTACCTGCTGTATAAATTCGCATCGTTCCAAGAGAGCCAAAAAATGCCGCTTGTACAGCTTTTGCTTGTTTTTGCGGGGTTCGTTCACTTTCACATCTGCCGAGGCCGACAGTGCCGGTGTCACCGAAGTGACAGTGGCCAAAGTCTCATGGTCGGATTTTTCCATCGATAACTATCGAGTCATGACAACAGTAACGATAAAATGTCAGTTTGTCACGTAAATAAAAGGTACAGTTAACAACAAACAATAGTAATGAATAATAATACCATTCAGTTAATACTCAATAGATCGTAATAATTATTTATTATTAATTAAACGTTTATGTCGTTCATCACTCGTTTACGGATTATCACGATATATACGAACCGCCGCTGAAACTTACCAACGTTTTATCAAGTCGATATCGACTGATACGTGATAAAGCAGCTGTGTTTTCATGACAATATATTTTCGTGCCCACGATAACGATTACGCGGCTGGAACACAAAATTCGGCCGTAGCCCCATAGTAAGTCGTACACGTATGTCCTATATCATATTGTTATATGTTATTTTTCGTGCGGTAAACGTTTTATGAAACACTGATCGACGTAGCTGCTGTTTTTTGCCCCACTGAGCCAACAGCTGTAATCGCCGCAGTACTGCCGCGCTGTATGCTTCGTGCACTGTGTATATTGTTTCATTTCGATTATAACTTATGACTATTAATTCCGTTTCTCCACTCAAACAGTAAAAATTTAACGATCTGCACAGTAGCCGATTGTACACACGCGTACACCCGCGCATGTTATTACTCTCATTTACTGTTATTTTGTTATACGTTACTTTAGTACTTTACAGTCTACACTTGTTTCACCCTGTCTCACGATTTCTTTAAACTGTTTTGTTTTTCGCTTATCCCCCCAGTGTAAATATATATATATATTTTTTATACACATATATATATTTGGCGAAATATATAGTAACGACATAAAAATTTTGAATCCCGATTTATCAAAATATTAATGATATACTATCGTCTATAAGACACGGTCACGCGTTAAATAGTAACCCAAGTCGCCTGCTGAAATATATTGCGATACAATAAAATAGTGGATTATATAAATATCAATAATTCGCGTTCAAATCATTACGCATCCGAGATTCAAAAATGTTCTTCGACTGGGGTTTCTAGCAAAAGGTAAGCTATATTCATTCCTCGTATCCCGTTTTAATTTGCTGTTATTAAATAAATTCAATAAATAAATAAGGGTAGAGCGTAAATACCTACTCAGATTGTATTCTGTTTGGTTCGATTGAAAATTAACCACAAATTGTTTATATCATTTATTATTGGTAACTAGGTGAACTGACTATCATAAGAACAGTTCTTGTTTAGTGGGTTGATGAAATTATGTAACTATTAGTTAAATATTACACAAATTTGATGTACCGACTTATTGTTATAATTTGTATTATAGTATGCGTACTTAATTAAAGCACCTGCACTTATTTGTATTACAATATAATGTAATTAACTCTGGTCTCTGATAGTCAGTCATCTGATATTTTGATATTACCTATTATTTATCATAGGTAGTTAACCTACCTATTTAGTTACATAGTATGATCTTTAATATATGTAGGTATTAGGGATAGTATATTATCGCGTGTTCTAAATTATTTAAGGAGTTGTTTTCCAATTATTGTCAACATTTTTTAAATAATTATCTGACTTTGTCTTAATCTGCTTACTTATTCATTTATAATAAATACTTAAGTATACACAATTAGAAATTATATAAATAAATAAAATACTTTTTTAATAGATTAATATAACTTTCTAATGAATGCATACAGATTGCATTTAATATACTGGTTAAAGTATTAAAATATTAAGCAGTTATAATTTCAATATTATAATTTATAATTCATTTGAAATTCAGAAGTCTTGTGTCAAAGTTTAAAATTTTAGAAGATATTAGCATTTGTACACTATTTATTTTCTCTTTGATGTTTTAACCAATATATCAAATTTAAGTTTGAATTATTTTTCAATTAGATTTAATATTACTTATTTAAGTGAATTGACCTATTAGATATTTCAATTTTAAAGCAGCCAATGAGTTTTTTAAAAGCCGATGAAGTGCCCTAGATAATATTCTTTCTGATTTGATAATAGGTAAATTAATTCTGTTATTTAAGTTATTTATATATAAGTAATTTTAATTTCATCAATTTGTTGTATTGCACATAGGTTAGAAAGACAATATAAATAGTGGGTTGAGTGCTGACTCCTATAAAAGTACTTATTTTTTAATAAAAATTCGATAATTTATTATCATAAATAGTATTATATATTAGTTACTCAATTACTGCTGTAAAGATAGGTTCACATTTAAGTATGCTTTATTTATTAACAGTATTATTTAGTACCTATAAATTACAATGTTAGTTTAAATTTATTTTTTGATAATGAAATATAATTTGAAAGAATGTGATTCCTTAGACCAGCGGTTCCCAAACTTTTTTTTCCGCGGTGCCCTTTTAGAGGCACCAAGTTAGCCACGGTGCCCTACTGTATATAACATGAAAAAAAGTACTCATTGAAAACCAATGAAATGTGGACCGCGGTGCACAGTTTGGAAACCGCTGCATTAGACTATAAGGTTAAAGCAAAAAATCATTCCTTTTTAGAGTATAACTAATGTAACATAATTAAAATTATATTTTTCTAATAATAAAATATTAAATAATGTTTTACCAAACATAAAAATTAATATTCCGATTTTAATTTAAACTTAGTCTTTTATTATATTATTATTATTATAGCCATAAGCTATTATACCAAATAAGCACCTGCCCTTTAATGTATTATTTAAACAAAAACCAACCTTTTTATGATTAATAATTTTAATAACCAATACTTTAACACTTAATCTTGATGATAAAATTAAAATTATTTGTTGAAATTAAAATATTCAATTTAAGTACAGAGTTTATTTTTTAATATAATTATTAGGTCCAAGATATCAATTTATAATTAGGTGTATATAAAAATTATTGCTTACATTATCATTTAAACAAGAAGAATGCTTATAGAATATTTATATTTGTTTGTATTATATTATCAAAGATTATTTTATTGGCTATAATTAACTTCTGATTAAATAAGTTAAATAGGTATTATAATATTCTACATACAATTTTTTTTTCTTGTAATTTTAGATAAAATATAAAATTTTTTGTACAAACACACACAAAAAAAAAACTATTTTTTCTATTCTCGTGTATAAGTTACAATAATCATACCTATATTATTCAACATTTATACTTTTACAGATTAGAAATTTAGCACTGATAATACATCAAGGAGGTCATATTTTTTTTTAACATTTGTAGAATTTTATTATCTTGAAAATGGTAGTTTAAAAAAAATAATTTATCAAAATTGTAAAAATTTTGAATTTTAAAGTTTTTAATTTTTTTAAGTAATTGGTTATCTTAACATTTTGTAACTACTAAAAATTAATAATATTCTATTACCTTAATAATCTTAAATAATATAATATTTTTATAATAAAATGAGACTAAGTTTTGTTTGGATTATGAAATAATATATTTATTAATATTTACAAATATTACAAGACTGTCGTCTCCTTGAAAATATTTTAATAAATAATATGTTTATACAAATGTAACAAACTCTCAATATAGCATATTTTTTTATCGGTTCCTTGAAATTAATTATACAGTGATATCTGTATTGTATTATATAATACTATTTAGTGAATTAGTATATTATTAATTTGATACTATATTGAAAAATGCAGTTAATATTAACAAAAAGAAATTAATTTTATATTGTCGGGCTTAAAAATTTATTTAAATTGACCTCTATTCAAGTATCTAAACTCTACAAATGATTCCATAAATAAGTATATTATCATTCAAATCCTTTCATTTACTATTAATTTCTTTATACCTAGCCAATACAACTTGCTGACTGAAAAGAAAATGGCCCAGAGACTTTTAATCAAATAATTATTTATACACAATTTTATTGAAAAAATAATAAGTTAATTACTTGAACTCAGATTCAAAAGTTTGCAAACATCAAGATCAAATTACACCAGCTCTTTATATGTAATTAAAATACTAAATCACTGTTTATATTTTAACATAAAAAAAATTTAGTAAACATCATTGCAAAATAACAAAACTGATAGGTACAATAGGTATATGATACATGTATTAAAATATTTCAGACTATAATATATTAATATCTATATTGAAATATGATTCCTATGTATTACTTTCTTTATTTAAAAATGCAATAATTTAAAAAATTCAGTTAATTTTGGCACTTAACAACTGTAACTGTTGATTTAAAAAAAAAGTTCTTAGACTATGAGATTATGAGATTTTTTTCAATATAATATTATCGTTTTCAGACTACTATTTAAAAAAAATATATAAACGATGGCCAATTGCCAATAGAAACTGGACAAGTTATATCTACCTGAAAATTTATTTCAATATAAATGAAGAAATAAATCCTTACCAAAAATTAGATTTTATTACCTACTGCTTGCAATACCTAAGGCTTAGTTTTAATTTCTAATAATTTTGTAATTCATATGTTGAACAATTAATTTGGAATGATAGCAACTTTCTCACAAAAGAATATTTTAATTTTCTAGGATATTATGCTGAGTATTAAATGGTTTTTATTTTTATTTTTTAAATAGTCATATAAAATGTGTATGTATTGAATCTGGGTCCTTATTCCATTAAATATTAAACAAATTATATTTCCAACAAAATTATATTATTTTAAAATCGTATTTTTTTAATATACTTAAGATACAATTGAAAAATTAGTTTATAATTTTTTACAAAATCGTAAAGCTTGCAAACAGGAAAAAAAAATCAATAATACATTAATATAACCTAACCCGTAGTTTCGTAAGGTTACGTGCGCAAACAAAATAAAAACTAGACGAGACTTCTAAACTGCCATTACTCAATTGTTTTGAACTTGGAAAACTTATTAGACCACTGAAATGTGCATTAAATTATTGTTGACCAGAATTAAAATGAAACTTAAAAATATTCTGAAACTATACTGCATACAAATGTGGTTATTAGATATTATGGTGACGGCAATCAATAATTAAAGATAATTAAAAAAATTGAAACTGAATCATTACGTCGATTACTGCTTTCTAGGTATTATATAGAAATAACTAATAAGTAATTCGCACACGAAAATATTTCCAAACTATTAATCAACTTGTAAAACCGGATAAAATCGACAAATGTTTGGTTATACTTTAAATCATTTTTGATAAAATTGTTA